AAGATCCAGGGCTGGCACCCCCCTTTGATCAGCACCCTAAGCAGCTGCCTAGTTGGCCTATAGGAAGTGCCGGCCATGTGGATATTTATTTCCTAGGACCAGAGCATTTTTTTGTTTATTTTTCTGTGCCTATTTAGTGCACCACATGTATCATATTGATTTTAAAGGACATATAGGGCTTTGCGTTTATAATAAATAGTTTTATTTCTTGTTTTTACCCAGGTCTCGCTGTCAGTTGCAGTTGATGTATATGACAAATGCTTGTAAAAAAGATAATGGTGCATGTGTAATATAATGTTTTTTCTTTTTTTTCTTTAAAGAGGGATCAGGGTATTTCAGGATTTATATGGGTGGGTGGGATTGGGACAGGGCATGGCAAACAGACATTTCATCACTTCACACACATGTGTATGCGTATATATGTAATATGATGTGCAACAAGTGCCTTAGTTGCATCTTGCATTGGATAGAGGCAAATATAAGCAATATTTTTTGGTGGAAGTTATATTTGTAAGGTTATAGGCTTTATAGAAAAACTAAATGTGAAAAGTGTGCAAATTAATATAAATAAAATAAAGATCTACTTTATCAATTTCACACGTTTACCACAAAGACCTAATTCAATATGGGTAAAATTGTTCAAACACAAACAAATGAAATCTTTATCTTAACTTCTTTTTTTCATTGTTTGACAATTATTTCTTCTTTAGTTCTTATAACGCTATAATTTGTCTTCTTGGGAAGATTGTAATAATTCTTGTAATTTCCTGTCCTGTTAATATAATAATATTACTAACAATAATCATAACAGTGATTTCAAATTATCCAGCTGAGGAAATCTGAAAACACTCATGGGAAATTAAGTCATATAATCAAATTCAGAATATCCAAGTCATTTTTTTCAACTGGGATTTTGCAAATATGTAGTGTAAGACAAACTTCTTCTTTTTTTTTTTTTTGTATTCATACAAGTCACTGTTGGAAAAAAAAAAAAGAATGTCCCAACTGTTGCTTTACTAATAAATGTTTTTTACTTTTTATTTCAGGTCTAATAACAGACTACAGGGTAAGTTCTGTTGTCTTTAATAATTCGATGTTAAGATTGCATGCAAGAACTGTTTTTATATATTTTTTAGTTATGTTATTGGATTCCAAATTTTATAAGAATATATATATATATATGTAAAGGCTTTGCCTGGAGTTGTGGGAGCGGCATGTGGGACCTATATTATGGGCTAACCCCTTACCTGGCCTACCGTAATTGGCCTAGCCATCTGCTTTGAGTTCCAGCGTTATGGCCAGGGTTACTTTCGGTTCGCGTCTACCTGAACTTCTGGTTCACAGCTGCTTGAGGTCCCTGGCCGGAATCACGGTGCAGAAACCTATTCTCCGGCTGCCACGAGATCCCTAGCCACCAGGTCCAGTATCTGTCTGGGCCGGACGCATCCTCTTGGCCCCACGTTCCCGGGTTCTGACTTCAAACCGTACGTTATCACCATGCTGCTGTACCATTCCCACTCTATTAAGCATGTTATTCATGTCCGGGGTAGGGTACCCACATATATGTACCTGGTTCCCCCTGCACCCTGTCACTACCGAATCACCACGTGGAGCACTAGTTGGTAATTTTAACTTGCCGCGTGCGGCATTCGGTTAGTCGAACGAGTCATTTGTCAGTTTTCTTAATACCATTAGCTAATTTGCGGTTACTGTTCGCATACTTCTCATACGGTGCCACGTTCGTCACATTCATTTAGTTTGTTTGATACAGTCATTCACCCAATTGTGTATTAGACCAGCACTAGCCGAATTTCGGTTAATCACCGCAAATTTTGAAAATAGCTCAGCCTTGCTTGACACTGGCAGATAAGTTAGTTATTTTGTCGTCACTTAGTGGCTTTGGTTGCAATTGCCTAATTCTGTGATAACTGTGCTAGCCTGTCTTTCTGCAAATTGTTGCATGAGTATAGGAATACAGGTCTTTAATATGTTGTTTTGTGTGGGTTTTAGAATCACTTATAGAGTTGGTTTTATGCATACAATGTTATATCTTGGTACTAGCTGGTTCACTTAAGTAGTTATGGTACAGATATCACGGTTGTTAAATTTGTATCTGTCTCTACATTATTTCTGCATAATTTGTTCCTTGAACTGAGGCTCGTGATACTACTAATAGGTCTTAATTTAAAAGTGGTATATTAATTGGGTTACAATAGATGTTATATCTGGGGCCATGGTCCATGATGTTACATTTCTGCACATTCTACGATTAAAATTATTTATGAATAATGGTTAATCATATGTTTACAGATTCAAGGTTGCAATTTAGGGCAGCATTTTGCTCTTCAGACCTCAAATCCTATTCCAGTAAGTAGGTGGGGATTTTAGGGGCTTCTATATTTAGGAATACCTTGGCTTGTATACATTTTAATACATTTACTCATTTTTAGGTATAAGCCTCTCCTTCCCCTCTATACCTTCTTTAGTGGGAGTCACAGATTCTGTGTCAAGTTACGACCATATTTTCTGACTTAAACACGCAAGTGGGTTTCAGGCATGTTTTGCCTATTTATCCTCCCCAACGGGGGTCTCACGAGGCCAACACCCATCCTTGAGGTAAAATGTGCCCCTCGGGCCAAATCATAGATAGACGCCTCGCACGGTTGACTAGAGATGGCCTCCCCTGTCACTCCCAAACTGTCTTCTGCTTTAAAAGTCACAGAGAGGCCAACACCCCGCCACAAAGTCAGGTGGCCACGAATCCCCTTGCGTCAACGCATAGAGCCTCTCAAGTCACTTGGCAACTAGCAGGGCCTCACCTGTCACCAACCTAGTGAATTGTTTCGCCACTTGGCACTATTTAGCCAGCCAGAAAAAAAAAATTACAAGAGAGTCTGGGTGAACCAGTTAGATAGCCCCAGTCTCCAGTTTCTTTCCCCTTGGTGTGCTCTCTGATTAAGCCTTTGGATTCACCTCACACCTAGGATAAGGTTGTTTCGAAGTGTTACTCTTTGCGAGTCAGTCTTTCTAACACACTGTTTACAAGTCGATACTTGGTTTCACTTATCTGTTTATAGCAACCTGTGAGGTCTTAGTGCACTAATGCATAATAGGTAGCACTAGACCTTACAAGGATTATTGCTCTCCATTCCTATCTAACAGGCTGGATTAGTTTATGCAATTTATGGGCTGCATAACATATCTTGATTTATTTGAGTAGCCTCCTTCATCCGATACACCCATTCAGGTTCATATGGTCCACCAATTTTCTCCTTTATGAGATTATATGTGGCATTTTTTTGTGTATATGTTGTATTTCTGTTTGTTTTAACATATAATAAATTGTAATTTTTATATTACACAGACCCATAGGGACCACCTTGTGTTCTATGGGCCTCAGGTCCATAGGCTACTCTTTCATAAGTCTACAATTTAGGGTAAATAAATCTCACCTTTCCTTACCCCCGTGGCCTCCAGACCCCCAGCAGTGATTCACTGTCAGGGGTCTTTGCAAATTATGTAAAGACCGAAGGCTTTATGCCACTTTATACCCTGAAATAACTATTTTCTAATAAACATTTGTTTGTTTTTAAATACCAAAAAAAATCATAAAATCATAATAATTATTTTGAGCGTCTATTAAATATATAAATATTACTTTCCTTATTAGCACTGGCAGATTCCACTGGGAAGAAGATTTCGATCTTTGAAACTCTGGTTTGTATTTAGAATGTATGGCATTAAAGGACTTCAAGAACACATTCGAAAGGTAAACTTATAAAAATGTCTTAATTTATAACCAATGTATGATTTTTTTCCCAAATGTATTCGATACTATTAAAGGAAATAAATATTATATAGCAACAAGTAATTTAAAAAATATGTAGATGGTCAGTCTTTATTCTATGGCTAAAACGATATCATTGGTTGGTTTTTTTTGTTGTTTTTTTCTTGTAAAATTTGCAAATAAAATAACTTGCACATTCAATCAATAAGTCCCAAATTTGCAGACAAGTTTTTTCCAATTAAAAAAAATGTGTAAGATTTAAACAAGATTTTTTTTTCAAATTAGAAAAAATGCAGTCTGTTTTTTAAACGGTTCAAATGGTTGTCAAATGAGATATATATAAAAATAGTTACCGAGCACTCAGACTTCTAAAAATACATAAATACATAACTTAGAAGGCTACTATACAACGCCTATCTAAGAGAATATATATGGGGATTTAGTTCCACCATATAGCCTTATGATGTTAAGCCCACCACTGCTTCAAAGTACCCCAATGTTAGTGGGTCCTACGTTAATTACAAAATGTGGGAGACAAATTAAATAGTACTGGTGCTAAAAGCTACAGTGTATTAAATTCATTTCTTTGTAAGAGCAAAGTGAGTATACAGAAATAAAGAGTAATAAAAGCAATTAAAAACAGTGTAACAACTAGACAATTAAAGTGTTGGTGCTTGAATGAGTATACTCACATTTGCAGATAATATCTGTACTGCATGAAGAAAATAATAAAAGTGACATGACTATGAAACTCCTCCTATTTATACACACACCTGTGGTCACCTCTAAAGAGGCCTCAGAAGCTGGAGGGGGCCTGGGCGGGGTGCTTAACCCCAAAGGAATCTGGTCTGGATTCTAAATATACTTGCACAGAGAAGAGATTGGGGGCACACCTGAGAGATGCATTATGCAAGAAAGAACTCACTTTGCTCTTACAAAGAAATTAATTTAATACACTGTAGCTTATTTTTAGCACCAGTACTATTTAATTTGTCTCCCACATTTTGTAATTAGCGTAGGACCCACTAACATTGGGGTACTTTGAAGCAGTGGTGGGCTTAACATCATATGGCCATATGGTGGAACTAAATCCCTATATTTATTCTCTTAGATAGGCGTTTTATAGTAGCCTTCTTAGTTATGTATTTTTAGAAGTCTGAGTGCGCCGTAACTTTTTTTCTGTATGAATTTTGGTCACTGTGGCAGCACCTTTCTTGCATAATGCATCTCTCGGGTGTGCCCCCAATCTCTACTCTCTGCAAGTGTGTGTATATTATATATATATATATATATATATACACACACTTGCAGAGAGTAGAGATTGGGGGCACACCCGAGAGATGCATTATGCAAGAAAGGTGCTGCCGCAGTGACCAAAATTCATTAAAAAAAAAAAAAAATATATATATATATATATATATATATATATATATATATATATATATTAGCTTAAATTACTATATCGCTATATGAATCACTGGTGAGTAAATACCCCTCTAAATACTAGACAACCTAGTGATCTGTGATGCATATCTATTAAATGAGGATAGAATGTCTTAATAATTACATTACACATTAAGAAATAATATTCATAATAATTAGGGCCTTTATGTTGAAATTCCATTAGGTTCTAAGAAGGATTTTCCACCATCCTGTATGAGATACAATCAGCTGTAACAAAAAGTGCATGAAGTGCATGTAGGAACCATACATTTTATGGAAGTTGAGGTCTTCAGTATTGCAGCCATTGCTCTGTACAATATCTATTTTCACTTGCACTGCTTGTCTTTTGTACTTGCTTTCCCCAAACAATTCACTCTTACAGTTCTTACATTGGTTTACTGTGTCCTGCAGGAATAGACATGTGCACCTTGCACTGTAGTATATATCGATTGTTCAGGCCATTCAGATATGCACATACATGTATTATGTGTAGTGGTGCCCATGAACAGAATTGACTCATTAGCTACACATAGCACTGTTCTCTGGCTTCTGGTGGGAGAAGAATAGACTTACTAGCAGGAATGTATAACAGAGAAAAAAGTCAGAGAAATTTAGAAAGATGGTACCCCCAGTACTAGGTAAAGATTGTAAGTTTGTAGTTACAAGTGCCCATATTATCATATCCACTCAAATAAAAAAAAAGCCCAAATTATTAAAATAAAATTGTTATATTGTAAATTTTGACTTACAGCACCAGTTAAGCATATCAGACCATTTACTTCACAAACACTGTGACATAGGCAAAAGTAAACTCTACAATGTGTTGAATGCTAAAGTATAGCTGTCATTGGTCTAATCCTGATCCTACTACCAACAGTAAACAACAAATATAGCAACACTCTGGTTCATGTACTGCAGCCCCTAAAAAATTCCCCTTTGTAGAAAGTACAAATAATAAAAATACAGATCAATTGGGTGCGCCAAGGGGTTGGGAATCAGAATAGTTTTAAGTAAAACAAATGAGATAAAACAAATTATACACTGTCCATATGATAGTATAAAATCATGTATATAAAAAGAACAAGCCAAAAGTCCAAGATAAAATATAATAGTATGAATAAGTTTGTAAGGGTGTGCCTGTATCTTCAGGTTAGTATACCTTTAAGGTGTTCAGAATCCAGGAACATAAAAAAGAAGAAAAAACTCCAATAGTGAACTATGTATAAAATAAGATAAAAGCTTGAGTAAAAATAAATCCAAATGGTCTACTCACATGGGATAGAGCTAAAACCAGCTCTAGTATAAAGCACATGCCGTGGATTTGATACCCCACTTCAGGGAAATTGGTGGAAGATATTGACCAGCACGTGTCTTATCAGCAGGTTATATGTGAAAATAAAAAAGTGCAAAGATAGTGCTCTCTGTTTAAAATATATTCAACCAGAAGTAAAAATAAATAGGTTGTACTCACATTTGCCTGAGCAGATAGCCCGCTCAGTGTAATCTGCATAGGTGGTATAATCCTCACCTGGGATACTTGGTGAGGTCCTCACTGAAGAGCAAGGAATAACACTACTTCCTAGAGTTCCAGGTATAGCTGGGATTCGTTTCTTAGTGAACAACATAGAAACATAGAAACATAGATTACACATTACACATTAAGAAATAATATTCATAATAATTAGGGCCTTTATGTTGAAATTCCATTAGGTTCTAAGAAGGACTTTCCACCATCCTGTATGAGATACAATCAGCTGTAACAAAAAGTGCATGAAGTGCATGTAGGAACCATGCACAAGGAATGCATCCAAATAACCTGAAAAGAGAGGGCCTAAAGGCAACGATTTGGCCTATTTCTGTGATTCGGAATATGCTAACAGAACTGACTGTTCGTTTGTAACATGCTTTTTTTAAAGAGACACCCTAGGGCCTGAAAATAACTGTGCGTCTTCACTGTCTTTGAAAATAATAACTCTTAGGATCTTGTATAGTGAACAGACCAGAACTTGTTTGTTTGTTTTTTTAGCCGAACTCAACATACCATGAATTTATGGGAGAATGGGAGAGACTGTTACAAAATATATATCTCATAACAGCATCCTAAAGGAAGTGTTGGAAAACCATGAATCCCCCATATCTGTGGATAGACTCAAATAAGCCCTCAAGACATATTCTACCAAAAAAACAACCAGGGCCAGATGGCTTGTTCACCCACTACTGCAAATTGATTTTTGATAGATTGGCTCCTCATATCATTAGGAAATCTAATACTTTTCCTTCTGCCAAAATATTTCTTGACCACATTACTTTAATCCACATGAAAGTGAAGAATTATTCACTTTGCAATAGTTACAGACCTAGCTCCCTCCTTAATATATATCTTACATAATTACATAGCTGAAAAGAGACATGCATTCATCAAGTTTAGCCTTTCTTTCACATTTGTTTTTGCTTTTAATCCCAGTCTGAAGTGCTTCCAATTTTGCAAAAAACTAGGAAAATAATTCCTTCTTGACCCCTGGATAGCAGTCAGATATCTCCTTCGATCAAGAAGCTATTACCCCACTAATTAAATGGGCACTATAGGCACCAAGACCACTTCAGCTCATTCAAGACTGGATACAGTGTCCCAGCAATCTTAACCCTGAGCTGCCTATCCCTGGTAATAAAGTTTGGCTTCAGAGTCAGGCTATTGTAGGGGTAGTGTTAGAGTAGTGCAGTTAATGGTTAACATTATAATAGGAATTAAGGGTTGGTATAGTATGAAGCAAATGTTAAGGGTGAGAAACGCTGTCCAAGATTAGTGGGAGTAATAAGTGGAAGTTATTTAATTCATGAACAAGCTGATTTAAAATAGCTCTAGTTGCAACTTGAGGACATAACTCCTACTTATCCTAGTCACAAGTGGGGAATGTATTTTCAGATTTTGTCTGAAAATGGAGCCCTTGAACTGCACAGAGGTTCATTACTGAGACAAATGGTATGCATGAAGCCACCATTTGTGCAGATTATAAAACCTGCTGATCTGGCTGAAATAATGGCATATTAATTGTATGTATATGTTACTGTTAAAGTGCAGAAATCAGTTAATGTGCACATTACCTAGTTAATCTGCAGATGAACTAGGCCGATCAGTTAAAGTGCAGAAAATTATTTCGTTTCTCAAATTTTTCTCACATTACCTACTAGGCACTCGCTAAAGTGCAAAAAAAATCTTTCTGTCCGCCATCTCTGCGAGGGGCTCACAGCTCTGGAGGACACCATGGTGTGCACAGGGTGCTGTTCTGTTCTTGTCTGGACCACATAGTCACATACCTCTTCAAACAGTTATCCTGAACTGGTAAAAAACGAGGAGCCCCCACCACCACATGAGATCGAGCGCTTCCTGCACGTTATGCAGCAACACCCTGAAATGATCCCAGCAGATGCTCTACACCAGGCCTGTCCAACCTACGGCCCCCCAGATGTTGCTGAACTACAACTCCCATGAGTCTTTCAATGAAACAGATAGCCAGGGAATCATGGGAGTTGTAGTTCAGCAACATCTGGGGGGCCGCATGTTGGACAGCCCTGCTCTACACTGTACTCAATGTCATCATATATTTGAAGACTGTCGGAATCAATGGTCCATGAGCAGACCTCTCCTTGGTCTTATTCTCCTCAATGAGAGAAGTATTTCGCGGACTTACGGAACCGCATTGTTAGTAGCCAGCCCCAGCCTGAGAAGCAACAAGCCATGCGTCTATGCTTTGAGAATTTGATGGTGGCATTGAAAGGAACTTGCTCACAAAAAGAATCGAGACAGGTTCACACAGAATTTTTCTGCATTCAGACGAGAAGTGAACGACTCTGCAGAGACTGCACTGAAAGGGTGAAACAGGTTCTGCGAGGACGTTTTTGTAATAAATAATTTCCTCTTTTATCGAGGAGGAAAGAAACAAACATTTTGCACTGAAAGGGTGAAACAGGTTCTGAAAGGACGCTTTTTTTTGTAATAAATAATTTCCTCTTTTACCGAGGGACAGAAACAAACATTTTGCACTTTAACTAGACAGAAGCAGTTAATGTGCACATCACCTAGGTAAAGTGCTGAAAACTCTCGATTCCACACTTTAACTGAGCAAATCAGTTAATCTGCAGATTAACTTGGTCTGATCGAACAGACACTTCTCAAGTTTAATTAGCGAGAAGTGTCCGTAGGATGGTACAGAGAATGACAGTAGTGAGTTTTGAGATCGGGAGAAGGGAGCAAAATGTCATCTATCATAATGTCATATAGCAAATGAGTGTAGATAGTCCCTTATGACATCAATTTATAAAATATTGAAACAACACTGGTGCATTCCATACCCAGAAGTGTATGACTGTATATTCATAGTGTTATAAAAGTGAAGAGAGAAGCAACACTCAATCCCAGTACACCAGGTGCACTGGAGCAAGACCAGCAATTCCACAATGATCAGGCAGACAAAAAGAAAGTCTCTTAGTTAAGAGGTCTTAGAGGTCTTAGCAGGTTGATACAATAAGTCTGCTTGTGGCTTGAACACCTTGTGTGCCTGAAGACTTTATTTTTGTCTGAAGAAGAAGAAACACAAAATAGGCGGGGATTTTGAGCATATTAGGCGAACAGCAGGATATGGAGTAATACCAATTGAGAAATCCAAAACCATGGGCAAAATGCGTCTTGGTAGAACAGAGGATATTGATGGCTGTTGTGATTTTTTTTTTCTTGTATTTTAATATTATTTTTATACTGTAATTAATTTTAAACTTACTTGGAAATAAATTCTCTACAAATCAAATTATCCTTATTTCCATACTGCATCCAGGTTCCAGACATGGTAATGTCACCCTACAAATAGACACAAAATCCTTACACAGTTATCAAGAGGCTCTAAATAAGGTGAA